GGGGGGGGGGGGGGGTGAAGTACAAAAAAAATATTCGCGCAAGGGAAAATTAAATGAAAAACATTCATGCACTCCAATTAACCCTAAAAAATATTCATGCTATGGCCTAAAAAAATTCATACAAGGACTTTGATAACGAAAAAAATTCCTGCAGCTTGAAAATTCCCCACCCCCCAATAACTTTTCTAATGGTCCGTCCCTAACTGTCACAAGTTATCTACAAACATCACTTAAGATGGATCCGGTCTGGGTCAGCGAACAGATAACTGACTTAAAGATGAGTCGAAAATTGTAGTTTCGATTCCTCGCATCACAGGTAGACCAAGGTTACTATCAGAGCCCTGAACAACATTATCCTACTTAGCTAATTAATTATTCATACGACAACAGTTATAAGACGTTGTATGACAATTATCCCATTTCTCCAAAATTGAGCGAAACGTACATTAAATTTTTCCTTTTGGTATTTTGTTACATTCATTTGTGTGTTGACTGCGTTTCAGGCCTCTTAGGATGCCAAGAACCCGAAAACAACACTACCCATCAAGCTAATTAATTATTCATACAGCAAGAAAATTATAAGACGTTGTAAGGAGAAATATTCTTTGCTCACTAAATTAGCAAAATGTACACTGAATATCGCTTGATGACAGTCACCTGGGTGAAAAACTTTCGCTCAAAAAAAGGCATTAAACAGTGCCTAGGAGGTCTGAAATGCAGACAGAATACAAAGAAAAACAAGAAGACGCTAAAGGTAAGCTTCAAAGCGATATTCAATGTACATTTTGCTAATTTAGTGAGCAAAGAATATTTCTCCATACAACGTCATATAATTTTCTTCCTATATGAATAATTAATTAGCTTGATGGGGAGTGTTGTTTACGGGTTTTTGGAATCCTAAGAGGCCTGAAACGCAGTCAATACACAAATAAATGTAACAAAATACTAAAAGGAAAAATTTAATGTACGTTTCGCTCAATTATGGAGAAATCGGATAATTTTCATACAATGTCTTATAACTGTTGTCGTATGAATAATTAATTGGCTAAGTAGGATAATATTGTTCAGGGCTCTCATAGTAAGCTTGCGCTACCTGTGCTCGCAAAGCTCTGACTGATTTCTCTATAGAGTAAAACGGCGGTAGAGAGAAAGTGGAGTATAGAAGTCAGTTTGCCTTTAATAAATTTCAAGTGGCCGAAGATAACGCTGACGCATAATTGAGAGTGATCAGTGCGAAGTTTAGAATCTGCCCTTTCGCAACGGAAATTAGTCTCCTGAACATACCAGTCGGACGTGCAATAAATGGAGATTAAAGTCAAAACAGAGAGACGTGTAATAAACAACGATCGCAAGTAACTGCATGTATTATTAAAGTTGTGCGGCGCCCTATGAATATAATTGGAGGCTCTATGTAAACTTTGAAAATGGTGATATTCGCGGAGATGAAAACGAAAATAACCAATCTGAAACTAAATAAGGCCATAACGTAACCGAAACTGTTTAACTATATAGAAAAGCGTGAATGATTATATTTTTAAAAAAAATTTTTGGAGTAGCAAACGCAAGTTGCAAGCGCTCTGATGTCTTTAAATTTCGCGCGCGACTGGTTTCTCAACGTGTGTTCAACTCGAACATACAGAGAAACGATTCTTTTCAAAAGAGGAGCGAAGAGAACGGAGCAGAAAACCGGATTGGTTTTTTCCCTACGAACTCCATTTTAATCCGCTTGGCTACTGCCAGAACGCCTCGATGGAACATGCTTCTCAAAGCAAAGTGTATACGCAAAATATTATTATTAATATAGTCTTACAGAGAACGAAGTTTATGCCAAGTGAAATTTGACTACTAGGCAACGGCAGGTGTAATACTAGACTTGCATAATGATCTGGTGCTAAATTCTTACAATCTCCTCAAAGTCACTGTTATCATGCGCTTCAAGATTAAATTTATCATCAAAGAAGTGAAATGAGAACTGGGATTAGCCTTGTTTTGGACTGGGAAAATGGGATTTACTCATGTACTGGAACTGGGATTTAACCACGTGGAAAGGGATCTAAATCTAAATCTCAGCTGATGATCTACAAAGAGGCTGACCGATCCCTGACGATGCACTTATGTCCAGGTTTGCAAGTACCTGCAAAAATTGCGATTTTTCGGTGTTTGCGAAAAAATGCAAAAATCGAAAGGTTGGCGATTTTTGAAAGCTAGTTGCGAAAATTGCGAAAAATCGCCAGTTGCGTTTTTTCGCAGTTCTTTGTCATGTTAACAATCACTTAAGTCCAGAGCCAGTTGTCATGGTTGTCGATTTAACTAAATTTGCGAAAATTGCGAAAAATCGCAAGTCTGACTATTTTTCGCGTTACTTGCGATTCCTCGCAGTTCTTTGTCACGTTAATGTTCCCTTTCTTGTGTTCATGATCACTTAAGTCTAAAGCCGGTGGCCGATTTTACCAAATTTGCAGTAAGTCCGAAATTTTTCTTCTTTACTTGCCAATTTGGCATTTCCCTGTCAACGCAGTTTAAGCATATCTTCACGCAAAAGCCGACGCAGTTCTTTAAATAAAGGTTCTGTTATCTAAAGTTTCGAGTTATATTCGTGAGGTTCCATTGTATTTCAAGTTTCATGTTATGCCTCGCCCCATGTAAGGGAATCCAGGACAGTCTTGGATTCTGGATTCCATGCTGTGGATTCCGGATTGCGGGTACTGGATTCCGGATTCCAGCACAGTGGATTCCGGATTCCAAAAAGACCTGGATTCCATTTTTTTCCGGTTTTAATGCTTTTCTTCGCACTTCGTTTTCGTGTTCGGATCTTGCTATATTGAAAGACGTTGTTATAACAAGTTAGTTTTCTCTTCGATTTACACAATTAATAGCCTCCCACGCAGACGTTCTTAGGGGTTTGTTACGCGAACCCCTAAGAACGTCTGCGTGGGAGGCTACAAAATTACGGGAAGAAATGTATTACAGTTCCGTAAGGGTTTATGGTATAATAATGAGGGGGGCACAAACAGGGGTCGAATAAAAGCCAAAAGTCCTGAAGACCGTGTCAGTAAATGGAAGTTACACTTCTCAAACCTGCTAGGTCAACCACCCAGTGTCACAATAAAACCAACTGCTTCCATAATACATGAACCTCTTCCCATCAACACGGATAACATAACCATGGAAGAACTGGTTAAAAGTATCAAAGGTTTCAAAAATAACAAAGCACATGGTCTCGACAACATACCAATTGAAGTCTGGAAAACTGGTGCCTTAAATCAACAATTGCTTGACATCTGCAACAAAACATTCAATGGTGATCGACCGAATATATGGGTTAAAAGTGGAATAATACCCCTACCAAAGAAAGGTGACTTGGGTGACACAGGAAACTATCGTGGTATATCCCTAACTGTCACNAAGAACAATAGCTCTGTACAGTTTAGAGTCATCGGCGAACAGGCCGATGGTTGAGTAAGAGCGTAAGAAATTAAGAGCGTCGTTGTACATGAGTGGGCCAAGAATTGACCCCTGAGGTACGCCGGACGTTATCTGCAGACAGTCTGAAAAACAGCCTTCCAGTACGACTTTGTTGTCTACCTGCTGGCAGTGGGGTTCAATAATATGTCAGCGTGCTAAGTTGTCGCAGATCTGGCCTTGAAGAAGCCATGTTGAAGTCCATACATTTGGGCTGCAAGATGTTGGTAGCAGCTATGAACATGAGAATACCGTAAATGATCAATCAAGCACCGCTACTCGAATAAGCTCCGCACCTTTAACAAAAATACCGGTAATTTAATAAGCACGGCGACGCTAATTTAGGTATTTACAAATTAACGCCCCATCTTTGCGCTTGATACAAGGAGATCAAAACTATATCGCTTGATTAAATTAGACTTCGACCAACCCGTGAGTTCTAAAGTTTTAATGTAGAAAACTCTTGAAACCGGGTTCATATAACAGCACGAGGTGTACATATTTTCACTTTATTCTCTCTATATTCCCCTCTGTGTTTTACTCGTAGTTGAAATAAGCGCAGCTTTTGTATTAGCGCCGCACCCATAACAGGGAAAATGAAATAACCGCCGCGTCGCTTAATCGATCATTTACAGTACGGACAACAGGGATACCACTTTTCCGGGGCTAAATCTACTCATAACTTATCAGTGACAATACAGAAAATTTCCTCATCGGCATTGACCCAGGTTCCAGTGCAAAGAACTCAGCCGGGGTTGTCAAAACTGAAATTTAAAGAGAGTTTTCGTCTTTCCACTGCTGACAAACTATCGACGTCGCACGCCTTCGTTGTGAACGTAGCTTGTGATTGGCTGATTAATACATAGGTGAATCCGGTTGAGTTTGTTGTACTGTAATCGGAACGAAAGAAAATATGAAGCACCGTTATATGAAAAATGTTTATATTTACAGATTGCCTAATACAGCCAGGCGCTTTTTTTACACACTATCAGTTTTCAAAAGTGTCATTTAACACAATGAACAAACACACCGAACAGTCCACCGAAAAGAAAGTCCAGCTTTCTGCGTCATTGAATAACAACGAGCGCATGAGCAGAAATATCATGTTGTTAAAGGTAAAAAGCTTTCCGAAAGGTCCTACAAAACGAAACCAATTTGCGTTACACAGTAACGAAACAAACACTTTACAAAATAAAGTTACACTCGTACTACTATCCACGATTTAAGTAAAAGATATGTTTATAGCAGGCATTGCCTAAAAAATACTTGAACCTCTGAGAAGATAGGAAGTCACCCCTTGAAAAACTAAAAAAAAGGGTCAGTAACAGAAATAGTATCACGTCCATCCATCTGTTCTAACGTGTTTTTTTATCCAGCGGATTACGAAATCGGTTTCTCTAATACTTATCCGCTGCACAGTGATTTATCCGGCAAATAGCGCTGTCCAACATTTGAACAACCGGGGCCTGCTCTGTTTTGCTTCACGAAACAAATGTTAGATTATCATTCCTTATAATGGGGACACGTGAGAAGAGACGTATTCACACTCGCTCAAGACGTTTCGTTTGACTAGTGCTGGGTTCTACAGACCAATGCAAAAATGCAGCTGTTATGTTGTGCAGTCCAGTCATAAATCAACCCACACATCAATCTTTTACACAGACAAACAACTGTGATATAAATATCAGAAGAACGTTGTAATATAAATAAGGAAATATTTATATAGATTAACATATCTTACAATTAAAGGAAATAAAACTGATAAACCGTGTAAAAATCTTTTCAAGTATTAAAAAGAAATAGAGCCTTATAGCTAATTGAACTTAATTTCAGTATATAACTGTATGGCAAGTGGATTGAGAATGCGAACATGCATGTCGGAGTCAACAAGAAAGTTTCGAAAAATGAAAAATACTCGTGTGTTTGAGACTATAAGACGACCTGAAATTGTGCTATTTATAGCAACAAATGCCAGCCTTCAGGATCCCATCCAACTCAGATATAGACTGACATGTCAAATTGTAAAGCAGACGGGCATATATAGGGAACTTGCGATACCACAACGAAGGAAAAAACACTGGTTAATTGAGCAAAACAACACCCCTTGCACTAGTTTACACTTTTGAAACATTTCGTTGCCTTGTCTACCACGCGAAATGTCCTAATACGGCCTCTTGAGGAGGCAAACATAAAGGAGGGGTTTCCTTTCCTCTCGTTTACATTTAATCGTGGGGGGGTCGTCCTCGATCGTTGCAATCGTACAAACAATCGAGGAGATCGAGAATTCGAAAGATTTTATGGAAGCCAAGCTTCACAATTAAACTTCAGGATAATTAGACAACGCTTGAAAAATTGAGTTCAGTAGGAATAATCACGATGAAGTTTGGAACAAAGTAAATTCACTTAATCAGGGACGTTGTTACTGCCATGGTCGTCGTAGTTTCGTAAGCTTCCTAACGACAAAGTTAAAGCCGAAGGATAAAAATATAATAAGAGCTGTGGCTGTGTAATTTTTACAATAGGTTTATTTTTTACTTACTGTTAAGGAGAAGACAATACCTTCTTAGTAACTCAGAGTTCTCAAAACTCCTAAGACGTGTTGTATAAAGCATACTATATATTATTTTAATAATAGGATCTGAATGAAAGTTGTTATATTGACTGAGTACAGTCGTGTTTGCGTAGTTAATGAATACATTTAAAAAGGATGTGTAAAAGATGACTGCTTGAAGGATGAGCCACCTGGACACTTCCGCTAACTGCTGGGTTTTGGGTACTTGCAGCTTGTGGTGCCACATTCACAGTAAAACTCCTTCTTCTTAACAGACCAGAATTTATCACCGTAATTGAAACTGTAGAGAAATGAAAACATGCGAAATTAAAAGCACCATCTATGTTTATATGTCTTTTTCTGCTGCACTAAGTCAAGATGACAATATTGGTCATTTATGCATCGGTGAACAAAACCCTATGGTGTTACCATTTAAATTTTTTACTTTGGTCATTAGAACTGAAACAGTTAATGATACTAGTTCAAACGACGGAACAACTCCCAAAGCTTTGTCCCGTGTTGAATCCACCTTGCCGTAATAATTAAAAACCTTTTCGATAGTTAAACTTGGATGAACTACGATCTACGTCTCGTAAATAGACGTTAAAAAAACACATTATAAAATCGTTATTTGCAAAACACTCCTTTATGACGAAACAAAAGTATTTTATAACATAACAAATAAATCGCGCGCTCTGATTGGTCAGTTAGCCACTACCATTTGCCCGTGGGCGCACGCCAAGAAACTGAGCTAGCGCGGTAAAATTTAGGCAAATTCAACAAATCTCCTCTCCTGACGGTAAAATACACCGATGAAATGCACAGATGAAAAGTGGAAGTTGAAGAAAATACTAAGCTGTCGTTTTGAAGGGAAAAAAGACAAGAGATCAAGCGACAAATTTGCCCTGGATGAATTAATCACTGTTTTCCTCGCGGCTAGAATCGGCTGAAGGAAAATCGAGCGAGCGAAGATTTTAGGCGCATTTTGAGTGTTTTTTATAGAAGAGAAAGTCAGTTTAAAATGTAAATTTCTCAATTAGCATTGTGTTATTGACTTTTTGGTCAAGCTGATGCTAAATTCAAGCAAATATTTTAGGAAACACGCTCAAATTCGAGACAGCTTTGTTGTGAAGTTTTCATCGCATCGATTAAAAATTTTAGTTGAGTTTAAACGGGCACATTACGCTGGAATAAGCGAATTTCATTTGAGTACAGAAACATTTGGGTTTTCAAATAAATTTTTCAAAAAATAACTTCCGTGTGTATTATTTTGTTCCTCAGTGTTCATTCATAACAGTCGTTAAGAGAACGGTCGAAAAACAACAGCTTCAGCGCCGGCTCTGTGTCGGCGAATTTCAGTTGCAACTTTGACTTTCATAGCTTGATTTCCCCAGACAGATTTCGATACAAAGCTAATTTCTTTCTTTTAAAATTAGCGTTACTTGTTATTCTAAAGGAATTACAGTCAAATTTTCTCATTTCTACTTCACGTTTATTTCAAAAATTGTCTCATAAATAAGCTTGATAATTATTTCATTTATTTAGTTTTAGCTTATTTTTTAGAGTCCTTTTAGTTGGTGTTTATAGTTGCAGCTATAGTTTTCCCTCAAAGTTTTTACCCTAATATTAAGAGCAAGTAGACAGATGCCATTCAGAATAACAACAAAAATCGTTTTGCAATTTACCTGAAGACGGAGAACGGTTGATTCGGCGAACGAAAAACTCAAAGGCAAGTTTTCGAAAAACATAGAACGTGATTTGTTTACGCGCGGGCAGATGGCAGCATACATGAACTCGGACCGATGACTCAGCCGAAGGCAAATGGAAAATAATGTTTTTCTCTTTTGATTATGTTATAAAAGAAATGGTAAACGTTGCAGCTGTGCAACCATGGAGTCATGGATGCACTTAGGAGGTTTGCTAAGCACTCAAGAAGCTAGAGCCGCACTCGGCTAGACTCTTACGCTTCTTTCGTGCTTAGCAACCTCCCGCGTGCATCCATAACTCCATGGTTGCACGCTGCACGTTTACCATTTCTTAACTGGAATCTTTTTCTTACCAAATTTCCTCATGGACATCGATGTCTTCAATAGCAAAGAATGCTATTCTGGGAAATCTTATGTCCTGAAAGAAAAGAAAAAAGATTCGTTAACATACGACGAGAGCTCTTGTTATTGTCAGAATTGTTGACTAACACCTTAAAGATCAAACTTTCAAAGGTTTTTCAGTGTGAGAAACATAAACTGCCAAGAGACAGAGGGAGGGGACGTCGTTGTCATATAGAGCGTTTTGGAGTTTAAATATGCGCCCGCAGTCTTAACTATCGTCAGGTTGCCTTTGCTACATCTGCCTATTTCATGAAAAGGAACAGCTGCTACCCTTGTATTATTATTTTCTGTCTTTTAATTCTATGATCTGCTAAACGCAGTTTGCAGTGGACAGGTAAGCATTAAACCTCACAATGAATCTAGTAAGAGGCGCCTTAAAGCTAAGAATAGACAGTATGACAAATATAATAAATAATAACTGAAAAAAAATGGTATGGTAACAAGGAAAAACTTACTGTGTGATTAACAAATACCCGCAGCGGAAATATGTTTGGTTCACACGAGTGATTTATAAACCTGCTTATATTTCCAAAGTACTTTGCATCAATGCAGAACAACTCATTCTCATTTGAACTTTCCTGCAATCATACAAGAGACGATAAGAAAAGATAAGTCCTGAAACAATGAACGATTTGATCAGTAAAATGCCGAAACACGACAAGTTATGATGTTGTTCAGTCCAAGAAGCAAGAAAATCGCCTCGAAGAGAACAAGAAACCGGAAGAGAAGATAGAAAGGTGGAGCTCTTCATTTTCAACGAAACAGACGAAAGCGGAAAAAAGTCTTAACCGCAGCAACGTTTTCAAAAATACAGATAGAAGTGAATACATTTGGTGGTGGTGCAATAGTTTCTCACCTTACAATCCAAGTCAAATAAGTAGGAGTCGTCATCGCGCGCATCAGCTTCACTATCCGATATCAGTTCACCAGTGTACTCACAGACAAAACTACCTCTTGGAATTTTAGCAAGACTGCGCACTCCCCAACCTAATACGTACAGACAAGTGTATCATCAACTCTGACAAGACGGTCGCGACAATCCCGAAAGGCATCAAGGGAGGTTTTGAGAAACAGTGGCACGAGCGACCATGGACATATGTTTGCGAGTGCAAAAAGAAAGCAACAAAAGTAGGTTTGACAGCTACAGTGTCAGGAACAGTGTATTGATCATATCCCATATTACCTTTCAGGATTGTCGCGTGCACATTTTTTCCGACCTTTCTCGAAACAGCTGTAAAAATACCCACTAACAACCATCAAGGAAAGTGTCATATTACCTGACGTGACGCACAATGAATTAGTACATGGACCATATACTGTGTTTTCCCTCCAACTCAGGAAAAAAGGAAATTTAGCCCAATAAAAAACATCTCATTTCTGCTATTATTTCTTCCCGTAATTCCTAACTTGGCCTTTTGTAAGCTACGTTATGCTTATACTTGTTTTTCTCACCTTTTCTCCGGGTTCTGTACAACTGCAGTGGGTACTGCATTCCCTTCTGTACAACTCTGTTCTTACAGTACGTCCAACAGTTGCACATTCTGTTACATTCGTAAACCAGCGGCCGGTCAATGTTCTTGATAGAAGTTTTAACTAGCCCCTCCTAACAACAAAGGGAGACCATTAATGTTTTTCCAAGGCATGAACAAGAAAGAAAGATTAGTTGAGTCCATACTGTGTGCAGTCAATGAACCCAAACTTACTAAGCCCATTCTTGCAGTATTTTTTTTTCTTCAAGGTAATACAGTGGAACCTCCATATAACGAAAGGCCGAGGGACTGTCAAAATTTGTCAGATGTAACCGGGTTTCGTTATATTGAGGTTCTACTGTATTGCCTTGAAGAAAAAATGTATATACTGCAAGAATAGGCTGAGCAGACCCAATTCCAATAATATTGCGAATTAATTGACCAATCCGCTTAATGACCAGAGTTTATTTAATACCATCAGCTAAAGAGATACACCTCACTTAGACACTAAATATGAATACAGCACAAGTTATCACTGTCAAAACAACAGCCTGAGTCCTATTCAGGACTACACTCACACGGACCACCATATTCCACCTACTTATGAAATGATTCCAGGGCTCAAGCCCTTAAAAAAATGCACTTTATTAGAGCGTCAATGTATTAAGCACGAAAGTATTAATAATTGGGGACACTATTTTACGTCTCCTACTGGCGACGGGACCGCCATTTTACGTTGTCATCCGAGCCACGCGAAGGTCTAGCCATTTGCGGGCAAAGGCAGTACATTTCTCGGTTATTTTAAAGACCCTGCGTATTGGTCCGGTCCCGGGAATCGAACCCGCGACCTCTCGCTTTGTAGTCAAGCGCTCTACCAACTGAGCTAATCCTACTGACCAGGAAATTCTTAGCACAGTTCCAGACCAAAGAGAGCAAAAGATCTCATGTTTAAAAACCATGAACCCTTCGATGGATGGAAACTGTATACTTATCTTCACTAAGTTTTACAAAGCGGGAAAAAAACTTCCTTAGCGAGGGCGAGGGTGAGGGGAGGCTAGCACTTCTGCAAACGACAGTCAGTGACTTAAAAATTCTTTCTGGACCTACAATCATGGACCAAAGTCTTGGGACACTTTTGCGTTTCTGGGGCGTTTTCCAATTCACACAGGTCTAACCCTTTCCCTCACCCAACAAACAATGTTGGACGCGTGTATCCAGAATTTTTTCCGAGTTTCAGCTTTTTGTAGGGTGGGGGGAGGCAAAACCGCAAGAAAATTTCGAAAAGGATGTATTGTTTTGAGAGGGAACCGAGAAATGACAGAAAATTATAAACATTGCAGTACTGTCCCAAGGACTTTTGTCCAGGATTGTAGCTTCCGAAAAGAGAATTTGAATTTGTGAGCGGCTGATGACATACCTCGTACCAAAGTCTCTGTCTTTCGCTTCTTTTAGAACAGAGACAGAGCATTCCACTTTGGCATACTCTTTCACAGCTACAGCCGCCCTGTTGAAACATCGCCAGTTAAGTCAGAGAACTGTTAACATGAATGTTATAAGGCGACTTCTCATACAAATGTTTATTAAGTAAAATTCATGGTACCTCATATCTTGAAATACTCCAGTCTATCATCCCTCTTTTAGTCTCGAAGCATTCCTTGATAAAGGTAAACTCTGGAAACGGTTCGTCATCGACCTAGAAAACCAAAACCCATGAAACTATTATTCAAGAGATGTCATGGCTGAAGAGGAGATTTAAACTTTACAGAAACAGAATAGGACTCGTCAGGACAGAGCCTTGGTGGGTCGGTAATGACATTTAGACACGATTTGGCAGAAAGTGCAAGAAGATATAATCATCGCAGTAAGCAATTGCAAATAAACCAGAAAACAAAAATTAGGGGTATAACGGGATTCGAACCCATGGCCTCTGCGTTAGCGCTGCGACGCTCTAGCAACAGAGCTATGAACCTGGCCTGTCCCCAAACACTGGGGGCAGCATGTTGAGTTCATCTTGACCCGTGAAAGGGATGAAACATAATGAGGATAATGAAGAACGTTTTAGTATGGAGATGCGCCTTCAAATGACCGCAACTATGACCACTTACCAAGCTCATTTTGTGCATCTTGAGTACAAAGAAAGATTCAACAAAGCAGTTAACGCACCTCATTTATGCAAGATATTGAAACATTTTCCTGTCCACGAGAAATATCGCTGCAAATTTAAAAACAAAGGCAAAAAATGTGAAAGATCCCCTTTTTAAAACACGGGTATCTTAAACAACATGACCAAGCAAACCAAACAAATTTCTTTGAATAGCCAAACAAAATTTTTCTAGTGTAGTAATGTCGGTATATTTTACGTACCAATGTAAAATGCGTGGACGGATGTAATGTTGACGAGACTCTAAATCTTCTTTCGCCTTCAGTAAACTATAACCTCTAGAATCAGGATCAGCAACCTGACAAACGGTTCATAGCAGGAAATTACAAAATCAGTCATTAGCGTAAAAAAAGTTAAGGCTAGAGATCTGACGTTTAGTCTGAACCAAATACTCGACAGCTAAACAAGGAGACTTTCTAGCCTGTACACAGACGTTGTTTTATTTTTCTTTTCGTACCCCCTTGTGCTGGCGGTCAATAAATCCCCTGCGGTCTATATTTTATCACCCGCGCTCGACGGACTTTGAAGAGAAAATAGAGGGTCTGTGAACAGGCTAGAGACTTTTGGATCTTCAACAGATCTACTTACATTCAACATATAAAACATAGGAACAATCCCTGGACATGTGAATTAGTAGAATAATGTTACCCCAAAAAGAAAAGCGCAATGATTTCAGCGTTTAAGGAACTCTCAACAATTCATTCAACCAATTTCTTTCTGTTTCCCTGCGTTAAAAATTTCCACACGTAACAGAGAATAACGTACAAGTTTAAAATAGAATTCCTAGTCTAGCCTGTTCAAAGACGCTCTCAGTATTTTCTCTCAAGAGATCTGATCTTCTAGCGCGCGTATGAAAATGAAAACCTTGGGGGATTTATTGACCGCCAGCGAAAATTGTCGGAAATAAAGAAAAACGTCTGAGAACAGGCTTAGATACCATTTATAAATCTCTTGGTTTTCGTAGAAACAATAGATTTGACGTCATAGTCGTGAAAAATACAAAGGATTCGGACTTTAAAAAACCATTTTCGTGCTGAAATTGGAAAAAAAAACAGATTTTAGCCAATCAGAGAACTCGATTTCATTAGTTCCATAAGGAAAATCGGGTTTGCTTGTGCACATGAGTTGCCACAGAGCGCTATCGTTCTATGGCGTACGATTACTTAATAACCTATTTGACAAACATAAATTGGAACTAGAAATTAGAGCAATGGAAATTAAAACTGAGTACATCTTGCCACAAAGCTACATAACTGCGATACAGGAAATACTTTCAGTACCATAGCAGGCGTGTTGCCGTCTTTGTTCCTGATATGAATATCTGCACCTCGACTTAGAAACAACCTGTAAACATTTAACCAAACAATAGGAGTTTCTAGTCTCAATAAACTAATATCTTCAAATCTTGAAAAAAATGCAAATATTAGCCACCTGTATCTCATTACAGTATTACCCAATAAGATGCACTTCAAATTGAATTTAAGCAATTCATGGATGAATCGAATTGTACGTCATTGTCCAGTCTGATTAACTATTTTATCAGAAGGTGCAAATAAGGAATAACTAAGCTTGAAATGCAAAATTCAATTTACCGCTGAAAAATTCCAGTAATCTACAGCCGATCACAGCGCCAGATTTCATGGAAAGAAGGCTTAAAATAAGTGATCAGAAGTGTTTCGTAAAGATCAATGCCGCAACGACTGCTGTTGTCGTTACCTTTGTTGCAAGAGTTATTTCTATATTGGCCGATATCGGCCATTTCCAGGAGGTGGAGCGTAAGACTGGGTCAGAGTTGTGTCGAATTGCACTGTTGGATTCACTGCGGTCACACGAAAGAAATTTGAAAAAGCTAAGCAATGTATTTCAAAGCTTCAAAGGCTGATAATTTCACTTTTCAAATTTTAAAAGCTGTCAATTTACAAAGCTTTTTGAAAGTGTGCTAAAAGAACTTTTCTAAAACCTAAACTAATTATTTTAAAATTCGTGGCCCATATTGCATATACAAAACGGTTATTGAAATTTCATCAAATAAAAAAAGAAACGCCTCAGACTTTTGATCTCGTTGGAACTGTGGGACTGTTTTGATGGACGCATTTTGACCTGTTTCTCATGCAACTTTGTAATAGCGTCCCCAAAACAATCCCATGATGTAATTCACACCACCGACCCAATCACAAACTCGAAATGGCCTCTAATCATTCCGATCGCGGAAAAAGGGTTCGTACACTTCTTCCCACGTAAATTTCAAGGACTATTTAAGAACTTTCAAGGACCGCGTTTTTAGACTTTAACCCTTTCACTGCCAAATCTAGCCAAAGGCAAATTTCGACCAGATTTCCAAATTTCATTTTGTAAAATTTTGGAAAACAAATAGCACCATGCGTGAGTTCAGGCAGAGAGCTTTCATTTGAATGTTCACATCATAGGATTTCGTCCACATACTCAAAAGATGAGTCACCTTGTAAAACTCTATCAAACACTCTGGCAGTGAAAGGGTTAAAGGACCTAATTTTATTACTTTTAACACACGTTCCAAATAAACTACGAATATATTCCTATAATAATGGGCTTTTGTTCTTAAGGGCAACCATTTCTCAGTATGAAAATTCATTTGTAAGTCTCAATGCTGATTAATATCCTGGTAGCTTCAAAACTAGTATTTAGCAAAGTTTTTTGGAGGTTTGAAAATGTTCCTCAATTAAAATTCAAGGACTTTCAAGGATCAAAATGAATGAAGGAGAATTTCAAGAATTTTCTAGGCCTAGTACTCAAAAATTCATAGGTTTCCGAGGGTTTTCAAGCCGCCTACGAACCCTGCGGAAACTTCGATAACCCAATAGCCAGCTATATAATATAATATTTATAATATAATATTTGGCTCTCTTTGGTTAAGCAAAACCAAAAAATAGCGTGAAACAAACGCACGATGTTACTTACTGGACACACTGATAGTGGTTGTCTCTTGCAGCGATATGGCTGAAAACGAAACCAATAAAAGGTCAAAATCAAGAGTGGGGACAACTTCAAAACCCGGGAACAAAATTTGCCACAGACAGGGCTCGAACTGGCCTACATCCCAGACGTAATTTGACCTCGGTTAGTAACGTCTGCGAAGAAGCGCCGATATTCTTGTTCTGGGGCCCCAACGGATCCAACGAATTACAGGAAGTGCGTTTCGAATTTTCTTTCATCCTGATTGGCACATCGACAATGACTTCTTCAACAGGCAAATCATGGCGTTATCCTGGTACACAGGTGCAGACCCAGAACAAGGACATCGGCGCTGTTTTAAAGACGGACGTAACCAGAGTTAAGTTTAAGCTAGGTTCGAATCCGCTACTTCAGAACTGCCTCCGACTGCATGCACGCAATCCCCATTGAATTTTATTCATTTGTTGTTTATCTATCAATATGTTTGAACCTAATAAAAGAGGTCCTTGATCCCTTGCCCTAATCCTTAACAGGGTCCGAAATTAACTTTTTAATACGGGCGCCAACTGGCGATGAAGTATAAATTTTTGGTCGCCAGAGGGCAAATTGTGATCGCCAAAAATTTCCCCTCCCCATTTTTCAAATAAAAGTTTAAACACGAATAAAAAATGCATGGTATGGACGTTTTTATGCTCAAAAATTGCAATACTTTCGCTCCCGATACCAGAAAGCAACCGTACGTGTACGAGTGAAGTCTTATTTTTTAAACGTCTGAGAACAGGCTTAGATACCATTTATAAATCTCTTGGTTTTCGTAGAAACAATAGATTTGACGTCATAGTCGTGAAAAATACAAAGGATTCGGACTTTAAAAAACCATTTTCGTGCTGAAATTGGGAAAAAAAAACAGATTTTAGCCAATCAGAGCACTTGATTTCATTAGTTCCATAAGGAAAATCAGGTTTGCTTGTGCACATGAGTTCCCACAGAGCGCTATAGTTCTATGGCGTACGATTACTTAATAACCTATTTGACAAACATAAATTGGAAACTAGAAATTAGAGCAATGGAAATTAAAACTGAGTACATCTTGCCACAAAGCTACATAACTACGATACAGGAAATACTTTCAGTACCATAGCAGGCGTGTTGCTGTCTTTGTTCCTGATATGAATATCTGCACCTCGACTTAGAAACAACCTGTAAACATTTAACCAAACAATAGGAGTTTCTATTCTCAATAAACTAACATCTTCAAATCTTGAAAAAAATGCAAATATTAGCCACTTGTATCTCATTACAGTATTACCCAATAAGATGCACTTCAAATTGAATTTAAGCAATTCAGGGATGAATCGAATTGTACGTCATTGTCCAGTCCGATTAACTATTTTATCAAAAGGTGCAAATAAGGAATAACTAAGCTTGAAATGCAAAATTCAATTTGCCGCTGAAAAATTCCAGTAATCTACAGCCGATCACAGCGCCAGATTTCATGGAAAGAAGGCTTAAAATAACTGATCAGAAGTGTTTCGTAAAGATCAATGCCGCAACGATTGCTGTTATCGTTACCTTTGTTGGAAGAGTTATTTCTATATTGGCCGATGTCGGCCATTTCCAGGAGGTGGAGCGTAAGACTGGGTCAGAGTTGTGTCGAATTGCACTGTTGGATTTACGGCGGTCAGACGAAAGAAATTTGAAAAAGCTAAGCAATGTACTCCAAAACTTCAAAGGCTGATAATTTCACTCTTAAAATTTTAAAAGCCTTAAATTTACAAAGCTTTTTGAAAGTGCGCTAAAAGACCTTTTCTAAAACCTAAACTAATTATTTTAAAAATCGTGGCCCATATTGCCACAAAACGGTTATTGAAATTTCATCAAATAAAACAAAAAACGCCTCAGACTTTTGACCTGGTTGGAACTGTGGGACTGTTTTGATGGACGCATTTTGACCCGTTTCTTATGCAACTTTGTAATAGCGTCCCCAAAACAATCCCATAATGCAATTCACAGCACCGACCCAGTCACAAACTCGAAATGGCCTCTAATGATTGCGATCGCGGAAACAGGGTTCGTACACTTCTTCTCACGTAAAATTTAAGGACTATTCAAGAACTTTCAAGGACCGCATTTTTAGACTTTAAGGGACCTAATTTTATTACTTTTAACACACGTTCGAAATAAACTATGAATATATTCCGATAATAATGGGCTTTCTCAATGCTGGTTTCAAAACTGGTATTTACCAAAATTTTTTGGAGGTTTGAAAATGTTCCTCGATTAAAATTCAAGGAGTTTCAAGGACCAAAATGAATGAAGGAGAATTTCAAGAATTTTCTAGGCCTAGTACTCAAAAATTCATAGGTTTCCAAGGGTTTTCAAGACGCGTACGAATCCTGCGGAAACTTCAATAACCCGATAGCCAGCTTTTAATATAATATTTGGCTCTTTTTGGTTAAGCAAAAACAAAAAATAGCGTGAAACAGCAACATGATGTTACTTACTGGACACACTGATAGTGGTTGTCTCTTGCAGCGATATGGCTGAAAATGAAACCAATAAAAGGTCAAAATCAAGAGTGGAGACAACTTCAAAACCCAGGAACAAAATGTGCCACAGACAAGGTTCGAACTGGCCTGCATTCCAGGCGTAATTTAAACGCGGTTAGTAACGTCTGCGAAGAAGCGCCGATTTTCTTGTTCTGTGCCCCAACGGACTCAACGAATTACCGGAAGTGCGTTTCGAATTTCCTTTCATCTTGATTGGCAAAACGACAATAACTTCTTCAACAGGAAAATCATGGCGTAATCCTGGTAGACAGCTGCGGGCCCAGAACAAGGACATCGGCGCTGTTTTAAAGACGGACGTAACCAGAGTTAAGTTTAGGCTAGGTTCGAATCCGCTTCTTCGGAATTGCCTTCGACTGCATGCACGCAATCGTCATTAAATTTTATTCATTTGTTATTTATCTATCAATATGTTTGAAACCTAATAAAAAAGGTTCTTGATCCCTCGCCCTAATCCTTAACGTGCAACAGTATAAGCTGGGAAGTCCGTTTTACAAATAGGATAAGCCACAATATTTGTCCCAAAATCCAAGAACAAGTCTTCGCTTCGACACCGTATAAAAGCAAGGATATACGATTAGGGACGACTCAACCCTATAGGTATCCTCCAACTCGAATACAAAACGGTATATTAAGTCTTCATAAATGAGGTGGGGTTTTGACTGCAAGGTGGTGGGATAGGGAGATTTTTGATAGTCAGGGAGTGGAGTGGGAAGCAGTTACAAACAACACTGGTATTGACAGGCTGGAAGGGGGTAGGGTGGGGCGGGAGTATTAATCTTAAACACTTACAGTGTTGTCTAACGGTGTTTATTGACAGTAAAATAGGCGGTAAGGTGGGGTGGGGAGTATTAATTTTTAAGTACTTACAGTGAAGTCTCAAGATGTTCGTTCACAGTGTTTATATTCACATGATTCGAAAGCAACAGTTTGCACACCTCGGCACTTCCAGAAAAAGCTGCCCAGTGAAGGGGAACATTAAGCTCCTGAATAATACAAAATTACAAATAGTCAAATCATTCCGACATTCAAAGTCATATGTAGTAAAAACCCACGATTGAGAACCTGTATTTTGCCAAGTTAGCCTTAACAGGTCCGTACATAAATGGTAATTAGCCCAATTTTAAGCTATTTAGGTTCTTTAATAGGTTATTATTTTATGATAAAGAAAAAAACACTACATCTTAGCTAAGAGTACTTAGCGGTGTTCAGCTTACTCCTTAATATACAAAATTTGTAAACCTTGCAGTTGAAGTGAAAAGGCACATATGTCTCCAAAGAGGATCCTGAATGTTGGCTTCTCCTTATTATTTCGCCCCAAGCGTACAGAATTTCTTTTATAAATAAGAACCTGTTTGAGATTTTAGGCTAAATAGATTCTTGTATAGCGGGAGCCTAACAGACAAATTTCTACCCTAACAGGTTCTTAAAAACCAGGTTCTTACACGCGGGTTTTAACTACACCTAGATACCATCGTACGCTTTTGGCCGCTTACTGAGCTTAAGTGCCCATAAACCATGTAACATTCAACCGCCAAGACCGTACCCGCATAGAATCCGTTACACGTCGATGCTACTAACGTCAAATTCATAACTGTATTCCCGCACGCAATAAATTTTAGACTTCAACTTCTTAGTATTTGGTCAGATTAAAACATCTTTACGACTTTTCAATGGAAAAATCCTACGAACAAGAAAAACGACCAAGCAAATTTTGTTTAATGACCTCCGTGCGTTACGCATGCTGGAATGCAGAAATAAATCGTATATCAGCAGCAACTAGTGGATTCAGTTGTCAAGAAGGCAATCTATCACTAGATTCTATATAGACGTATGCTTGACCTGACTTGAATGTTATTCTAGAAAATCAAAACAAAAGAAAAACCACCCGAATTTCAAGGAAATAACCTAGTTACGTAGAGTGCCCTTGCCAAATTACACACTATTCTATTTGTAATTATTTATTCTACTAATTTATATTTACGATATAACAATAATAAACAACGAAACAAAGCAGTTAAACCTGTGTGGACCAATGGACCACGCCCCTACCCTGCATGGCATTAACCATGCCCCCAATTTTTTCTCCTCCCTATTTTTTTCCGAGCACCCGCCATACAAGGCAAACGTAGTTGTACTTATGGTTTGTAAAGTTCCCTTTGCTGAGCTGAGGGGAAGCTGTTTGGCTACAGTGTAACAGTACCAGGTCACGTGAGTGAACATTAGCTCCACACTCCATTAACAGCTGGGTTGCTTCATATTGTTTATCCTCCGCTGCCCACATGATCGGAGTCCATCCACCATCATCCTGTAATATATACAATACATCATAGTCTTTCTCTCTCTCATTGGCTACCACGAGATCACATGACATTCGATAAAGAAACTGTTACCTGCTAAACATTCTTCTAGGTGGGGACCGACATTGCAAAGTCTATTTCATCGGCGCGTAACAGTATATATTATGTATTGCCTGCTTACATACAGACCTATCCCGGCACCGACTCGAGGATTGGGGTGCCAAAATACAGTGATTTGTATTGAAATGTCCACCTGAACCTCAATCTCACTTCATTTTGGGTGCAAACTGGAGCGAAATGCGGGAAAGGTCTGTTGACAACTTCAGAGACTTAGCAAATAGTTTTCATCAAAATGAATCCGGTGTGGTTGGCACAGTGTATTTTGAAATAAAGTTCATTTGGAGTAGTTCCGGAGCGAATAAGCGATTTCCACATTTATGTCTACATCTACTGTCGTACAGCCCTTCCCAAGAAGGGCTATACGACATTGATATAATCTTTACGAAATGAACGTAGTGAAAATGATTAAAAGCTCGCAAAAAGCGTTTACCTTTTCATTGATATCAAACTGCCCTGTCTTCAACAAGAGTTTGATTAAATCTGTATGTCCTTGACGAACAGCTAAATGGAAACATGTCATACCCTTGGAGTCCTGGAAATTGAGACAATTTTCAAAGCGCTTTGATTACTAACTTTACGAATGTTATCTCAACGAGAAAATGGTTCGGTCAACAAATGATAGAAACTTGATTTTCCAATTTGCTTTTCAGGAAGCTGCGGCGAGTTTGCTTTCGCAACGATTTTCTAGGACCGCTACTAGGGACGGGGAAAAACGGGCCAAGAGCTGACCAGGCGGTACGTCCCTAATAACAATCCCAGACGTCTTTGCGAAAGCTGACTTAGCCCAGTCTCCTACTCGTTTCTTAAGTGGCAAATAAATCAAGAATTGAGAAATCAGCGCCGCAGTGTTGAAACATTTTCTGGACACTACGTATGGTGAAAAAATGATAACATATTATTCATACCCTGACTCTGACGTTTGCACCGCATTCAATGAGATATTCTACCGCTTGCACCTTGTGATTACTAACTGCATCAAACTGAATAAAAAGAACCAAATAAGTTATCACTCCAGAGTCAGCATACTTCTACCAATAGCGTAGCTCCCACAAATAAACCAAAAGCGACCCACAATCTCTCAAAAGATTAACTACACTTCAAAAACAGGTTATAAAAATAATGACGAAAAGTAAAATTTAACAGACAGGTTATCGATATATTAAAATTCATACTTGGCTGCGAGGCTTGGGGAAATAAAACACAAGAAATCATCTCACGGCTTAGCAATGAATAATACATTTCTTTTGTTTTATTTCCGCAAGCCTCGGAGCCAACTATGAATTTAAATTTATCGAAATTGGTCTACTCCCTTAACTATAGGGAAATGTATGTTTACAGAAAGTTGATCACGTGATCAAAGGGTTACCTAACTCTTTCACTCATAGGGCACAAGACACAAGATTTACATAGCAAAGACCCGCACAGAATAAGATTTATCAGCCATGCAACTTTTGGAGGTTTTCCCTTGGGACGTTTCAGGTCAAGCCTTGCCTAGTCCCTAGGCCTCAACATTCCGCTGGGCCTTGCGTTTCGGGTCAAGTGGTCCGAGCGAGATTTTCGTCTCCGATACGTCACCGACATGCCCTGACCGAGAAGGCCTGGGGAGACGCCGTGCAGGGACTAGGCAAGGCCAAGCCGACATTGGACAACAAAGAGGGCACCGGGAGATGCAGTCCTAGCTATAGTCTTACTAGCAGTTTGCACCCTTCAAAATGCAACTTGCAAATATGACGGACGGAAAAGACACATAGATTTCTATGTTCTCTCCAAGCAGATACTTACAAAAGGTGTTCTGTTTTCGTAATCAACAAGGTTCAAATCACATCCTGCCTAAAAGTAGAAAATTATTTCGTCGAAATTCAATACCTGCATGATAAAGCCTTAGAACTTCTGCAGTCAAAATGGTTCTAAGTCAAATACAGATCATGAACAGACTCGGTAGAGAACCAGTCCACTACGTATCAAAACTGAACCGACTTTGATATGAAATCCGTCATATTCAGTCAAATCTTGATCAGCGAAGGCTACTTAAAACAAAAAAAGTACAAAGTAACAATAAACTCGAACGATGTTTCGTGTCATCGAGACACTTTTTAGGTTCAAAGAGTCTGAGAATTTCGACCGGACTCTTTGAACTTGAAAATAACGTCTCGAATACACCAAAAGGTCGTTTCATTTTATTGTCATAACCTTTTACTTGTTTTTAAAATTCAGATCTTGGGACAATTAAATTAAAGTTGCAATATGATTATTTTAAGTTTGCGTTTACGCTTTTTCTAATGAAAAGAATACTTTTTTAATCAGGCATTATCAGAGCCGGGTGAGATTTTCAAGCAGGCGAGCAGAAGCCTACCGGCTTAAAAACGAATAACCACTTTAATATACATGTACCAGCAAAACGTCCATCAATTTCTCTACAAGAAGTTACTCCCTCACAAAAACAAATCTTAACAGTTTTACACTGAAACTTAAAAGACCACTGAAAATGTTCTCGAGGCATTCTATGTGCAATCACGCTTTGGATCCAAACAATCTTCAAAACACCTCCGTCCTCAAATCCTGTTTAATACGATTTTTGGCAATAGGGAAAGACCTCTCGGAGGCTTTTCCAGTACAATTTTTCGTAGTCAAGTTTTTACGGCAGGGTTCTTGAAGCAAAGACCTCAATCACATATGTATTGTCATCAAATCAGTAAATTAATATCAGTTACCAAAACGGGAAAACAAAGGGCTAAATTACAAAATGATCAAAATGCAGAGAGCAGGGGAGAGTTTAAGAGCCTTTTAAAAACTCTGCCGTTTGTTATTTAGTTTATCAGATATTTACCAGTCTCAGACAAGCCATGATATCAACATATCCACCACCAGCTGCCGCATGCATGGCCGTCTTTCCTTTGGCTTTAACAACTTGTTGGTTTGGATCACATCCTCCAACTACAGAGAAAAACAATACAAGAATATTCATAGGGCTTGGGGAAAATAAACTGCTGATTAATAACCAGAATTGACTTGCACGAGAAAAAACAAAATGAGCGATAAAATTGGAAGAGAGTGTGGGTGTCGTGATACTTTCAACAGTTCATTCGAAAGACTTTTATTGCCAACGGTGAAGATAACTTCCTGTTGCTCACTAACCGAGAGCGCAAGAAATACCTCCTTGTCTTTTGAGAACAAAATGATACTTGCAAACAAAGAAATCTCCATAAACCCAAAGGTAGAAATATACAAAAAAAACTGAATCACATAGAGAGTTCAGGTGCCTTTAACAACTGTCAACTGTAAGAAAAATACTCAAATTTAAACGTAGATTAGTTGAACCTGATAATTTTCTTGGCAGATAATTTCCAGACGTACACCCCGAATAATGATTTTGAGGGTAACGATATAGCGAGAGATAGCGAGATAGAGAGGTATATAGGCTTATTGAACTTACGATCTACCTTTTTGTTCACCTTTAATTACATTGGAAAAATCAGAGTAACATAACAAACGAGAGAAAACAAACCTAACAAAGCAAGAACTTTGTGAACATTGCAGTCTTTAGCAGCTGTGTACAAATTCATCGGTGAGACTTTCAACTTCTTAAATGGTCTGGAAGAAAAAGCGAATATCGCACTATAATGTCAAATGAAAATAAAACAAAAAACACTAATATGTACCACTTCTGTACCTAAATCCATGCACGACAGTCCTTTTTTACTATATAAAGCCTTTGACTGACATACATGTATTTAAAGCCATGATGACTATTTCAGCAGCGTCTCAGAAAGCCCTCTAAACACGTTTTAAAGAAACTTTATTTGCTGTCCTTTTCAAGTTTTCCTGCCCTGCACACTATTAGGTAAAATGATACTGTGCTTGTGATAAGAAAAAAAACGACTTGGATTTTGAATGGAATCTCATATACGGATTTTCAACTTAACGTTAGTGTATTTCAGTATGTTGAGGTTTTTTTTTTTGTTTTTTTTTTGTATTGTTGGTGCTGTACGACTATTTGCATTCTAACTTTACTTATTGTATTGTTCCATTATCAAAGATTCCTTTGTAAAATAACTGCAAGCCATACGAATAGGTTCTCTAGATGAACACTTTATGCTTTAAGAGCAAATTTTGTAATGTGTATTGTTTATGGAAAAAGCACTTTTTTAACCAACATCAACACCAGATGGTCACTTAATTTGTAAAAATCAAAGGTCACAGACTTGTAATGCAGAGTGACCAACACATACTTATCTATCCCATTACATTCATCCAAAATTCGTCGCAGAATCTGGGGATTAGCGAGGAGTGGGGCATCCTCTGTAAATTAAAAAAATTTAAATTATTAGCCTGGCCATTTATACCACAAATGAAAAATAACTCAAAAATGGCAATATAGCAATTTAAACTCTATTACTACAGACAAACACTGACTGCCTTACTAATCGCCACCTTGACTTCAAAGCCTCATTTGAACTCTCCTGAGGGTGTCCACTTAACAGAGCTTGGACTGTACTCAACCAGACAAGAACAATAATACAGCATTTTCAGAGCTTTACATCTGCAGTTTGTTACTGTAATGTAATTCTCAACTTCTTCTAATTTCCTTTCTTATTCCTCTCCCGCCTCAATAAGTTTTTTTACTTAATGTGGACAGAGGAAATCTTTCAATTTTTCCTGCTTTAATCAATTAAAATTGGTGTTTATTGCTGTTGTCATCAGCAAAAGCAAATTTTTTGTTTTTCAGCCTCTGACTAAAATTATTTTTCCCCACATATTACCATACCTGTAATACTTGCAAATGATAATGAAGACAGGGAATCTGAAGAGGCACAACTACTGTTTCCCTCGCCAACACTGTGTCGCAAGCCATCCACAATCCTTGCTACTGAGTCTGCCACTGACTCAGAGCATATAACACTACTTGAAACATCCATTTCTATCATAGTTTGAGAGCTGCTCTCATCAGGAGAGGATCTTTCATAAACAGATTAAAAAAACTATTTATAAAACCACTACAAAATTTAAATAGTAATCCAGCACAAGAGCCTAACAGTGATTTAGTATTTTACAGTTTCCCAAAAATCTAGAATTATTATTATTACTTGTATTATTATTGTTATTGTTACTATTATTAATCTATAATCATTATTTGGATTCCCATTTGAACAACAAAAATTCAGAATTATCATAATTTGTTTGATGGATCAAAGACACCGTACAGAAGACGAAAAACACTTCTTAATGCATTGTATAGAATACGATAATCTTAGAAACTTTATTTTGATGAACAGATCACGATATAACTAAGATTAGATAATGACAATATTTCTCAAGTTATAGCCAAATATGCCCATCTAATGTTTCAAAATAAAAAGAATACAGATCTTAAACCACAAAAAATTAATTAATTAACTAATAGTATAATTATCATTGTAATAGTGTATATAGTATAATTTTGTTGTTTCTGTTCACATATTTTAAGATAATTTGTTGTAGTAGTGAATATAAAACCTTCATTGTAACTAGGACCACCACCTCCCTTTGGAGGGGGAAAGGCACAATAAAGATAAACTATACTATACTACTGTACTATACTAATAATTCATTCAGTATTTCCTTTTAATGAGTTACCATTCTCCACAAATTAATCACAAAGGATTTTGATTAAGATACAACTTATTTGTATCTGATAATAAATTTAATTTCCTTAGCTGTGAAATTCAGAATGCCTCTAGTATTGCTGTGTTCACTTCTAAACTAAAGTCCTATTTCCTGGTATACGTATACTGTCTTTACTTCTCTTAATGCTCATGTGTACTTCTTTACTTTGTTCACTTTTTTTTTCTGCACTTTGGATTCTTTTTTTCCACTTTTTCTTTTTCATTTTTGCATTTGCGCTTTAATTCTTATCTATTCTGTATCCTACTAAATGATTATTTTCTATGTTAAAAAGAAATTGATGCCTTTAGTTAAATTGTCTTGCCAATGCCAGTATTGTATTTCATAATTTAGTCATATATTTTCAAGGTGGTCCTTTTCATAAGCCTTACTGACTTCCATGGGCTCCCTTAACTCGTCCACCTGAATTAAATTGTTCAAGTATTTAATTGCAATGTGGCAAAATAATAATAAATAAAATAAAAGGTGATGCCAAATTCATACTGCTAACCTTAAGTACCTTGTCTTTTAATTCTCACCTCTTTTCTGGGTTTTCTATGCTCATTTTTGCTCCTAACAAAAATTAAGTAAAGCATAGTAAAAAAATTAATAAACAAGTCAGCCAGCATCCAAGAGGGAATGTAGCTGTCCATGAAGAATTAAAGTAAATAAAAGTAAAAAGTACTCGATGAAATCAAAACCAAAATTTCAAAAATTGTATTCATACTTTTCCTGGGTGTGTCTTGAATATTCTGTAATACAAAAAGAAAACATTTCAAGACATAAAAAGAACGTACAGTTGTTCATTTATCAGTAAACCTGCAGCAACAATGGAGGGTAGAAAAACTAATTGGGCAAGGTTTCACCTTAAAAGAAATCTTTTAGAGTCCAAATTTCTCCATTAGAAGGAAAGAATTTAGTGAGCTGAATCAAAGTACTGACTAAAAGGAATAAACAAATCAAGAAGCCACTAAAAAGCTGCAGATCATGTCACTTACAAATAACTCCCAGTCAGTTACTTTTAAGAATTAAAAATTTTGAAAACTTTCTAGGCAGTACATATTAAAATTAATTTAAAATATCATTCACCAATTAGCAAACTATAAAAGATAAGGAATAAAGGTTGTTATCATTTTGAATGAAAAATACAGATTTAGAGCATGTTAACCATTTACATTACAATTTCCTAAAATCTAGTATTCTCCTTAATGCCCTGTAAATTTCCAAAACAAGGTATTTAACCAGTACCTAGAATAGTACCTACATCTATGGGGCCCTCTTACTGTATGTACATGTACATTCACAACGTCCATTATGTAACTAAAAGAGAATCTCTTTGGTCTATCACTTACGCCTTCCCCTCCGCCACTTAATTTATCACCAGCAGAAGTTGAACTTGACAGAGGTTTCCCTGCTTCTACCAATAAAACAGTAAATATTCAGCTTACATGAGAACTCTTGCTGTAAATCAAGGAAATTGGGTGTTTTTAGGCAAATTTCTAATCCCATGGCTGCAGCTGTACTCCTCTACAAGACGATGATTTTACCCCTTTTTTGCCTACTGTGATGTGACCCTGCAGGGGTGTTGAAAAGTTAACTCTGATGCCCTCCAGAGTTTACAGCATAGAACTGCAAAGTTAATACGACAGGGCTGAATGCTACTTTTGGTGCAGTGCACATGGTTAATAGGCCAAAACGGCTTCACATTGTCTTGCTAACTAGAAAATGCCTTAATGGTTCTGTACCACATTATTAAATAATTTTTTTAACTTAAATGCCTCTGCACATACAGTTTCGAACAAGCCTCTGTAATGATGTTCATTTTCAAAAAGTCAACCTACAGGTTGCCAAGAGATCCTATTATTTTGCTGGTGCAGAGAAATGTAACAGTCTTCCTTGTTAAAAAACCTGGCCTAGCACAAAATCTATCGTAGTGACCAGGCCCCAACTAAGACAGCTGTAAATACTGTGTTACAAATACCTTGATCACCAACAGAACCAGCAGCCACACTATTCTTCTCATCTTCCTCATCAGAATCAAGAACAATGGAGTCAGTTTTAGTTTTTCCTTTATCAGCATACTTTAAAGCTCGTTTACGTAGCTGGCAGCTACAAATTGTTCTCATAATAGGACGCACCTGACCATCTTCAAAATGTGCAAAGACGGTCATCATACCACCATCTGGAGCAGGGCATTGAGACTCCGAAATGTCAACAGAAGTCGGCAGCATACTATTCTGTTCATGTGCAACTGTCTGCTGGATCTGAGTATTTGTAGCAGCAGAAACAGTGGATGTTACTGAAGAACAACAAGTACTTGCTGAACATTTGACGGCACTTACAGAAGGCTGATGACTGAATGGTACAACCTTAGCAACAGAGGGGGTTTTGCCATCTGAAGTAGCACGTTTTTTATCCAAAGATACTGCCTCACCAGTTACAGAAGAGTTCAAGTTTTTCTGCTCCTGTGCTGTACTAACATTTGTTTGTTGAGAGCATGAAGAGATCAAACGCATTCCTGGCTTTATCTTGTGTGGACTTTCTGAAGTAGTATTTCTTTGTTCGTTTGTCTGACCTACAAGATATTAATAAATAATTTTTCAGGCAAACAAAGTTCCAAGGATAAAAAACAACTTTTAAAGATGAAAATAAAACAAGTATTTCCTTAATATCCATTACATGCACTTTAGTTACTTTACACCAACTATGCTAGCCAGAGTTACATGCGCAGTTAGCCATAATAATAATATTATTTTGTTATAAAGCAGCAAGATACATTATAACTGGATGTTTTGAATCTTAATTCTTATCTTTTTCTTATTTAAAGGTGACTGGATATTCATTAGCCATTTTAGATTTCAATACTGAAAAGGAAGTTCATCTGCTTATCATTTTAAGCTCAGACTGAGGGGTTCTCTAATAATTATTATTGTTAATGTACACAGTCTACGGAAATGCAGAAGAGCTGCAATAATTCAGAGCTATTACTAAGATTTCAAACAGCTGGGTATATGCAATTAGTAGACCACCAAATGAAAAGCTGGTAAGTTCTTTTAGTTCTCTTTTTGTTTTCTTTCCTATGTAAGAGGCCAGGGTCACCCTGACCGTAGCCAGCGGAAAATATATCCCCAGATTCAGCCCTTTGTGACATCCCAAATGATTATGCACAAAAAAAAACAACTTTTACAGTTGTTAATTATTTATTTTAACTCCCAGATATTCCCCTAAAGTGCAATTGTATTTTCATGACAATAAAATCTGAACATTCAAACCTACTAAAATATTATTTACTAATATTTAGGTTTTTTTCCTTGTTATTTGCTTCATTACATTGTTATTGTTCAAATTTTAAATGTCATTTTACAATTTAAATAACAGCGTTTAAAACAACAGACACCATCACTTGAAATTTGGTGTGTTGTTATGGTTACAAGATATAGAATGTCATCAGTGGTATAAGTTCAAGCGTTGCAGATTATGAGTCTCACTGCTTATGCAAGCGAGACTTAAAAAGTAGATTTTCAAAAAAAAAGGGGGTTGTGATCTGATCCAATTCTCACAAGGAAAATGGAAAAAGATATATGAAAAAGTACTAAAGTATACACAGCCTTTCTTTTTATGGGCCATGCATTTAGGAAAGAAAACATTGAAGACAGAGTAAAATTATTGGAGTCAAACGTTTTAAATTGTTGTCTTTAGATAACAACAGCCGATTTGCATAAAATAGGTCTTAAATGAGGGAATGACGTTTCAGAGAACTTAGTTCCTAGATTAATTTCCCAGCGAGGGTGGGGCCATGTCCCTCACTCCACTACCCCCCATCCCCAAGGAAAGTGTGCCTCTGGTGCATAACTTCTGCCTTACTGGCCATGAATGGTCCCTTACCTGCTGCGCTAAAATTTAGGGAGAACACTACAAAGCGGCTCTAAATGAAAAACCTACCGACTCTCCACAATGATTCTTCATTCGTAGTTCAATTGAACAATTCATAGTTTCGAAGACAAGGACAATTTCGCTGTTTACAATAAAGATTGTCAAAATTTTTTAACTCCACACAAGCAAAAGCGTATTCAAGTGTCTTCAAGAAATGTAATTTGTGCTTGTGGGAGAAATACTTTATAATTTGTAAACCAGAAGTGTCTACCCTGAACAATAGAAATGACCTAATCTAAAGTTGTAGACACACAAGGAAATTTCTACTAAAAACTGCCCTAATTTGATTATTATATTTTGTCACAAATTTGACATGACCTTTGTAGGCATCACTTAATTAATGGTATGAGGTGCCATGCACCATATGCCGTGCACCACACCTGGTATTTATTGCTCTGTTTTCTCTATATCTTTGATTGTAACCCTTACTTCGGGCAGTTGCCTGATGATTGTTTCACAAGAAGCATGAAACTCTGAGTAGCAATAAAAGTTCAAGACTTAATCCAGTTCCATCAGTCTACTTATAATTTAATTTTTAAATATTTATTTGTTTTTAATAGCGGCTGTTATAATTTACTTCAGGACTTCTGTTTTCTCAATTTAATGGCGATAATAAGTTTAATTAATAAATTAAGATTATTACATTAAATTATAATGGTCCTGTGATTTTCCATAGCTACACCTCGCCTTGAAGGGTATAAGTCAAGACAATGAAAATTAATTTATCATTGGTTTGACTTCTGTTCTATATATGAACTACATTAACTCTAGTAAATTACTACTGTCTGTATCACTTTACAACTGTATTCAGTGCAATAATTACACTGAATTAAATCACCAGAATTAAAATTAACTAGCCCAACATACTATGCTGCCTGTTTCTTATACAAACGTTAACACACTATTACATTATGCATACATTACAAAGGATGCAACACTGAAAGAATTCCACAAGTTTTATTTACAACACACATTACTTTATACTGGGCTGCCTGTGCTCCAATTGTGGGAGATTTTGTCCTCCTATCTTCATAACTGTGTAATAAACACAATCTTGCAATAATAATTTCAACATAATGACAGGGCTAAAAAGGCACAGTCTCAACACAAAAAAATAACAAGGACTAAAATCTAAACAAAGTACTGGTTATCACATTATTTACATGCACTTTTTGCGCAATGATCAAAATCCAATTAGGTGCAAATACATGTAACTCAAGAAACATAATCAGGTGAGGAATGTGGAGTTCTATAATTAGCCAGTTAAAAATTAATCGCAATGATAAGAATGGTAAAATCAAAACGAAACAAAATAAATGATAAATAATTGAGATATCTGTGCCCTTCTGCCCTGCCATCACTATATGTTCATACAAGACCTGTGGAGTGGGAACTGGCTATTCCCATATGCTTGGGGTGCAGCCTGGGGTAGGGCCCATATCTTGCTGCTCTATAAGAGGGCCATCTAAAATTTCTCTCTCTTTGTTCAGAGTAATAGTTGGTTGGTGGGCGTGGTACCCCATAATGCATTGATCTACCTTGGAACCATGAAAGTCTTGGCTGTGGCCCCGGGTATCTCGGATAAAAGGGTGTTTTATTAGTACTGACTGAACTATGCTCTGGTGGGTGATGGAACATGCCTCTGGTTAGTGAACGCTGAGATCCTAATCCTCTGTGCACACTTGAATACCGACCATTCCATGCCCCAGTTTGTCCATTTGGCAACGGTTGGTTTCTCCCACGATGTGCACCTACGGGAGGGGTGTAAGGATGGTAACGACGATGACCATGAAAATCCATTGTTTTCAAAACCTGCATGAAGTATAAATAATTAACAGTTTTCCACTTGCTTCAAACCATAGCCTGAGAAAACAGCCAACATTTTGTGACGCCACTACTGGTTTTCCCACAAACTGATGTCTCAGAAATGAGCACAGATACTCCATACTCGTGATTTGGGTAGTGCTTCTGATTGGTCATGCCCTGTGGGAAATTTGCTTCAGCCGAACAGAGGCACTACCCAGATCTGGGTAGTGACGCATTGTCAGTATGGAATTTCTACGCTTGTTTCTCAAGATGTCATTTCGCTGGCAAACCAGTGGTGGTTATTTCGAGATGTTGGCTGTTTTCTCAGGCTATAAACCTTGGAATTCAGAAAACAAAAAGTCAGGCAGAATATATATCACATCAATCTCATGCAATTCATGATAACTGTATCTGATTTATATCAAGGTAAGTACTTGCTTGAGACATTGAACCTTTCATTTTCTACCTTCTGTGATCCACACAAATTAATCATTACTTCACCCTGAAATTTACAGCTCTTTCTATTTGTCACAACTGGCCGGCTGGACCATTGCCGGACGAGTCAGTTAGCAAATGAAATCAGCTTATAAATTTCTAAAGGGTTTTTGCTGAAACACCATCTCCTTTGTGCATGCTATTTAAGATTTGACTGATCTGGCTGGATAGTAATGATTAAAACTTAGATTCTCATTACGACAAGAATGATCTGGCCAGTCAGTTCTAACAAGTGGAAAGCGCCGTCCTCAACTGAATTGAGGATAAAAATTTTCTGTCATGCACTAAAATAAGATAATAACCATTTGTTTATTAAAAGATCCTCACATTACACAAAATGTAGAATTACTAATAACTACTGTGAAATAAGACTTCCAATTGCTATTAAAAAAAAGGCTAGAAATATAAATTTGAAAAATTCAATGCTCATTTGCCTTGTGCAAAAGTACATTAATTTTTTAAACTTGTCTGCTTTTAAAATTAACTAAAAGGGACTTTCAACACTTATCGTTTTTGCAAACACTGTAAGTATGCACCTCTGTGGGCCTCAGCCAAAGTTACAAATTACCAAATCAACCACAATTTTCTGAACTTCTACTTCTGGAGATTTTTGTCAGAAAATTGCCAGTGCACATGACAAAGAAAAAATTCTCCATCACTGGGCCACTCTTATAGAGATAAGTTCTTGAACAATAAATTACATAAAAATTTCTGTTTACTTATTGTAAAAAGTGCACTTTTGGGCTTGAGAACATTGTATGTATAACCCACAAAAACAATACAGAAAGGTTGAACAAACAAAACAACACAAATATTCCCCATCAAGTTATTCACTGACAGCACGTAAGCAAAAAATATTAATATCATTAGAAGCAACTGTTGTATGTTTAAGAAGCTCCAAGAATAAATTACAGCACTATTGTTTGTATGTCAGACTAACCCACAGTGATGCCAACTCTCCCGCTTTTGGCAGGAGACTTATGCTTTTTTGCCTCGTCTCCCGCTCTCCCGCTTTGGTGCATAAATCTCCTGCTTTTTACGTCCACTATAAAAATTGAATACTTAGTAACAAATAAAACAGACTTAGTTTGAGATTTAGCCCATTTTTAGCTCAAAAGTTGAATTTGCCTTATTTGCAGTACGGTTTCTGGGGCATTTTTGCATGTATTTAGTCATTGGCAAAGATTATCTCTAGCATCAAAACTGTGATTTCGAATTTTGACAGTATGTACATCATGTAAGACGTCATATAATGTCCTAAGTCACTCCCATTGGGGGCTGGGTCAATTTTTCGGGGGGGGGAGGGACGTCTTCATAGAAATCCCGGGGGGGAGCGGACAAAAGACAGTCTACGGATTTTAGGTAGCCAGCGTTTGTCATTTTTGAACCCAGGTATTTAATTTGCACAGCAACTCCTTGTCATCCATCACAAACATTTCTGGTATCCTCACGCCATTATCAGGCAAGACTACCGACAGCATTTT